GGCTCTCTTAGGGGGCACCCCGGGGCTGGGGGGTGCCCTAGTGCCAGCGTCCTCGCCTCCCGTGCCCCGGGCTTTCTGCATGGCCTCTGCGAGCTGGGCTGGGGGTGGATGCTGGAACTGGGAGGCCACGGGGGCACCGTGGGATGGTGCCCTGGGAGAGGAGTCCTGGGGGGCCGGCGGCCTGCCTTCCTGCTGCCCGCCCGCCTTCGGCCTGTGCTACCCAGAAGGTCACCAGGGCGGCCGGCGGTTGCGCCTCGGGGGCTATTTTTAGGGCCCCCGGCTCGGGTTGCGAGGGAGCTGTAGAGGGAGGGGGCAGCAGAGGAGGGGACTTGGACTCCACTCGGCTCCTTCTCTCCCTCCAGGAGCCCCCATCGCCAGCCCTGGCTTAAGGCTTAAGCGAATCCCTGGGGATTGGCTCCCGCGCCCCCCCCACCTCCGTGATGTGTCTGTGCCCCCCACCTGGGACTGGGGAGTAGAGTTACCCCTGGGCTCAATCCTATTTCCCTCCCTCCCTCCTCTCAGGCTCCAGAGCCCCAGCCCCACTGGGCTGGTGGAGAGGAAGAGGAGATTGTAAGGTTCAAGGTTTCTCTCAAGGTTATAATGATGCACCACATGCCTAACACATGGGAAAATCTCACTAAATATTCATTGAATTGGTGAATGAAGTGTCCGGGGCAGCTATTAGCCCTTCTGGGTAAATGTTTAATTTAGAGAAAAGTAAATAAAAGTGCCCAGTGGGTATTCATTCAAGAAGTATTTAAATATTTAATAAGTACCTACTATGTACCAACCTTGGTCCTGGAGAGATGCCTGAGAGGTGGATGGAGAGGCAGGGCTAAGGGGTTGAGCAGGGCCCAAGGGCCCAGTGACCTCCCCAATGCCTCCATTACTGCTGGCAAACAGTAAGACCAAGAGCCTGGCTCTCAGGTGGATTCTGGCTCCCCGCAGGTCCTGCATTACTGGCTGGGTGACACCAAACCTCTCTCAACCTCCAACCCCTCATCTGTACAAGTGGGTAGTTGGTCAGAGTTGAACAGGACAGAAAAAAGTAGGAAGGATACTGTAGGCAGAGGGACAGCGTCAGCAAAGACAGACCAAGATCACAGAAACCATGTGTTCTGAGAATCAGAGGGTTTGGAAGGATGAATGGCGGTGGGTGGAAGAAAGGGAGATGGGGCCTGCTGCAGAAGGCTCTGGTTGCTAAGATCTCTATTCTGAAAAACAGGGGGCGCTGCCACGGGTCTATGAGCAGAGAAAGGGCTGATCAGAGCTGTTTGCAGAAGGATCCTTGGGGCAGCCCGTGTGGAGAGTGAACTGGAGGGGCGGGGGCTGTTAAAGTGGTGGTCCTTCAAGGGTGAGCCTGCTAGAAGTGCAGATTCTCAGGCCCTATCCCCAGAGACCTAGGCTCAGCACTGGGAATTTGTACATTTGAGGAGTGGTCTGAGTGATCTGTCCAAGGAATGCACTTAGATAGAACATTGTAGCTTTTAAAGGCCAAAGGAGAATACTACAATAGCCCAGTTCTGTGTCTGACTACAGTAGTCACGTAGTCACATGAATCTACACAAGTGATAAAACTGCATTGAACTAAATGTACATGTATACATCACACACACACACACACACACAAAAGAAGGCATGTAAATCTGGTAAATCTAAGGAAGGTGAAGAGACAATATCAAGGTCAGTTTCCTGCTTGTGGTACTGTACTCCAGTCGTACAAGGTGTCACTACTGGGGAAAGCAGGTGAAAGGCACACGGGATCTCTGTTATTTCTGCCAACTACGTGTGAATCTACAGTTATCTCAAAATTAAAAGTTCAAAAAAATGCCTGGGGGTTGGAAGTGTAGCTCAGTGGTAGAGAGCTTGACTAGCATGCATGGGGTCCTGAGTTTGATCCTAGCACAGAAAAAAAATTAAGTCCATAAGAGACGCAAGCCTGACCTTGAACCTCAAGAGATGAAGCCTGGGAGGGACTACAAGGAGCCATGAATCATTCAGAGATGGGGAAAGTTACTCTTTTTTGTGTGTGTGTGCCAGGGTTCAAACTTGGTTCCTTGCGCTTGTGAGGCGGGCGGCAGAACCACTGAGCTAAATCTCCAGCCCGAAAGTTACTCTTGATCTGGCCTCTTCATCCCCTGCCTTTGTTCTGAGATACTGAAGTCAAAATGGTGTGTGGGTGGGTGGGTGTGGTATACATGCCCACCATGATACAGAAGAAACAATTTAAACACTGAATTATGTCCATAGAGATCAAAAGCCTTGAGGAATAATTTTTCTTGCAGTTTGCATACATTAGAGCTTACTCTTGTGATGTGCAGTTCTCTGGGTTTTGACAATGCATAGAATTACGCCGGCGCTACCCCAGAGCCATACAAAGCAGTTCTATCACTCTAAATATTCACTTGTGCATCCTCTTTATAGTCAGCCACTCCCCTGTACCAACCCTTGGCAACCACTGATGATGAATTGAATTCTACAACATAAATTGAATTCTAAAAAGGTTTAAAATGTGGGAGAAAGCGTTGCAAACAGAACATGAAGAACAAAGGAATAGAGACTTTTAAAAAAAGTAATAACCCAAAGCTACCTAATGCTGTATGTCAACAATTGCTTGGAATGCTGTGGGTGTCTTGTAAATGTTGACTGGTTGTTTAGTTGAATAAATGAACCTTATAATCTTGAGTGACTCTCTTAATGTCTCCAAGCCTGGGTTTACTCATCTATAAAATGGGAATACCCAACTCACAGTTTATTGTTCATTTAACAAACATTTGTAGTTTTCTATGAACAGACAAGGATTCCTGCCTCCAAGCTGCTTATGTTCAAGAAGAGAGAGAGGCAGCAAATTTAAGGAAATTGTAAAGATCATGAGAAGGAAATGAGTACTGTGGGAAAAGCTCAGCAGGGATGTGTTTGTGGTGGGGGACTGTGCTTGTGCGCAGGGTGGTTGGAGCCAGCCTCCATGGGGGGAACATCGGAGCCGATCTTCATCTTTAAAGGTTAGGAAGCACTTGGTGCAGACGTCTGCGAGGTGGGAGTATGCCTGGTGGTTCAAGAAGTGCCAGAAGGCCAGCAAGGCTGGAGGGCATGAGAGTAGCGTGGAAGGCAATGGCTCAGATAGCTAGCAGGGGCCAGATGGTTTAGCATCTTTCAGGCTGTGGTGCTTTTATGGGAAATGGGACGTCATCTCAGAGTTTTGAGCAAAATTACACAATGTGACTTATATTATCAGGATGGCATTAAATTGTTATATTAAATATTAAAATGAATATTAACTATTTAAAAAGGCCTGGCACAGAGCCTGGACCATGGCTTGTCTCTTGCTTCCCTTGTCTTTAGCAGTGGCATTCACTGACTTGCACCGAGGGTCTGTGAGCCCGAGTGAGTCGCTGGTGCCCTCTCCTGGAAAAGCCCGCATCAGCTGTGACAGCTGGAAGTGATCAGGCTCTGGCCAAGCCAGTTGTCCAGGGCGGCTGGCTGCAAGGCATTTGTCTGTCCCTCAATGTGGGCCCCCAGTGCCCTGAAGCCTGGCACCAGGCTGAGTGTATGTGCTGCCAGTCTTCCCTGTCTTTTGGTCACAAGTCTATGGTGTCATGGAAAGATCTGGGCTCCAGAGGCCAAGGAGCCTGGAGCCCCATCCTCCTTTTACACAGAATGCTGTGTGACCTTGGAAGGTCACTCCACCTCTCTGGGCCGTGGAGAATTTCCCCTAAGTTATAATGATGCACCACATGCCTAACACATGGGAAAATCTCACTAAATATTCATTGAATTGGTGAATGAAGTGTCCGGGGCAGCTATTAGCCCTTCTGGGTAAATGTTTAATTTAGAGAAAAGTAAATAAAAGTGCCCAGTGGGTATTCATTCAAGAAGTATTTAAATATTTAATAAGTACCTACTATGTACCAAGCATTCTTCCAGGCACCAGGGATATAGTAGTGAATAAAATGAATAAAAGTCACCCTTGAGCAGCTGACATTTTAGGTGTTGAACCAAAGGTCGTAGATGCACTTGCATTTGTACCCTGGGGAGGTCTGTGGTGAGAAGGAAGGGGAGGTGAGTGGGGACACCGAGGGGCAAGGCTGGGACTGTAGCCAGAGTGGACAGATGGGGTAGGAAAGTACCCACTGGGCCCTCAGCTCTTGGCACAAGGTCCAGCTCCGCAGTCCTTCCTGCTTCCCCTCTGAAGGAGTTTGAGGTGACCTAGGCCTGGTCCTTTGCATCCTGTGGGAAGCTGGTCAGCCCTCTGTGAATCCTCTTCTTTCTTGATGCTTAGAGTCTTGAAGAAGAGGACTGCAGAGCACCCTGAGGGGCCATGGAGGTAATTGGGTTTTCCCTGGAGGAATGTGTTGAAGGTCTCGTTGTATGTATGTGATCATGTGGAGCTCAAACCTTGGCTTTGGTGGGAGGGGGTGTCCATTCCCTGGATCAGCTGGCTGCACTTGTCTGTCTCTCAGTGTGGGCCCCAAGGGGACAGGGCCAGGATGGCTCTACTCTCTACTCAGAGAACGCTACCCCTGGGGAACAGTGGGCAGCTATGGCTTCCTCTCTAAGGACAGGCGGGCACAGGAGGCAGGTAAATCAAGAATGGAAGGCTTTACTTCAGCACCGTCTCCAGCTGGAAGACCACAGTGGAGTTCTCTGACACTAGGGACATCTGGGCAAAACCTGGTCACTGGCCATCAGTGAAGCTGGGGTGAGGCTGAAAAGGGAGTTTCTATACCAGGAGGATTGTTGTTCAGAAGACTTCTGAGGTCTGATCCCTACCTTCACTTCACTGTAGTGACTAGTCTATACATAAGCTCTTCCTGACTTTTGAATCCCTTTATGCTTTGTACAGCAGGTAAGTGCACCTATAGCTCGTCCTGAGCAAGGAAGGAGCAAGGTTCCAGAAACTTCCTGTGAATATATTCCTCCCTTTATCCACCAAAGCTCAGTGTCCTGCTTTCCCCAATGTTGCCCTCACAGAGAGGCCAACTCAAATGCTAGGACCTCGAACAAGCTCTAAGACAAGCTGAGGACACTGGGAATGCTGCTTCCAGTTCTGTGTTTTGTGAAAGTCGTGGAGTTACTCTGTAGGTCGATAGAGGAATTGTGGGCCTAGAGAGCTCAGTTAATTCCATTGGAACAGGGTGGGAGCAGGAAAGGACTACGAGCCACTAGTGATAGAAGTGGGGACCTGGGGTGTACCTGGCTCCTCTGGGGTAAAAGGGCCCTTCTTAGAGAGAGGAAGCAACTTGTGAGAGAGGGCTGCATCAAAGGACAGAAATGAAGAGACACCAGAAAGGATTTGGGAAGTTTTTGGAAAAGCATAGCAGGGACCTTAAGACTAAAACCTTGCTAGCTCTGTTTGACTCATTTTATCATGCTTCTATGTCTATCTTCTTCCCACCTCCTTTGAAGGACAGCCCCTTACATCTGGGAGGAGCAACATGGAACCTGAGGCCTACTTGGATCCATCAGCCTTCCTAAGTCTGTGATCCACCTGGAATATGTATGCTTTTTGGAAGGAGTAAAAAGAAAGCATCCATACTCCCTCCTGATAACCTTGGCAACCCAATTGCCCCTCAAGCCATCTTCCCACAGCTTTGGAATGCCTGATTTAACATATGCCAGCATTCCATGTGTATGTGGGCCTTGTTCTAAAACCCTCTTTTATCCCATTAATATTTGTAGACCTCCTGTTCATTAATAAATCTTTTTAAAAATTATATTTAATTATATTAATACATTTGAGTGTTTCATTTTATTCCATGATCCCCCTCCCATATGTCCTACACTCCTTCCATCTTTCCCAATTCTCCCAACATTTCCCTTTGGTATTTTCACTGAGGTTGCAGTGCACTGAAATGGCAGGATCATTGCCCAGAGGTCTTCTGAGGTCTGACTTTAAGAATGTAAGATCACAGCAGTCATCAAAGATCATTGAAGCCCCTGAAGATGACTAGGATGAACTGACATTTTCAAAGTACTGAGCCTTCTTACCCCAAAACAAGCTAGATCTTTCCATTTTTCTGAACATGGTTATTTTTCCTGAGTTGGCCCCTGTGCATAGAAAGGCCTTAGAAAGTGTTCATGAAAACAATCTGGAAACTTCCTTGGGGAAAGGACTGAGGTGGCTTCTGTCAGAGCCAGCTGGGGAGCCCCAGCTTTCTCCAAGGGAACAGGAGGTGGTGCTCTCCCTCTGAAGGTGGCACAGGAGGTTTAAGGGGGCAGTCCAGGAACCCAACAGAGGGTATGTGTGGTTCCCCAAGAAAAGCCCACTGTCCAGCCCCACTGCCCCATTTTACTACACATGTACAGCAGAGCTGGGAGACCCCAAGGACAGTCTGCCTGGATAGGAGGGTGGCACAATCCATCTCAGGGTGATGGGTGATGTGACACGGCCCCACCCCCAGTCACCCACCAGATGACAGTAAGAGGCCTGCAGGCTTGTGCTCATCTCTTTATTGTTTCTGTCCAGAGCCCCTGCAGTGGGAGGGGCAGTCATGGGAGGTGGCGTTCTCCTACCAGCCTGAGCCCACACACACTCTGCCTCCCTCTCCTCTCTTTTCCTTTCCAGCATCTCACCCACCCTCTCTCCTTCTGTATCTCCTGCTCCCACATCCAGCACCTTCAGGTTCTCTCTTGTAGCTCCTGCTTTCTAATCCCACCCTGGGCTGGGGAAAGGAAAGGAAGGGACCATAATGGCAGCTTCAAGTCCCTCAGTGTCCACAAGGGCTGGACCCCTGGTCCTTGCCCAGCTTGCTGAGGAGCCTACCCTTTCTTTCTCTGACTAGGGCTTGGGGATGGGAAGGTCCATAGGGCTCTGTCCTGACCCTGCAGGTCCCAACCCACTGCTCTGAGGCATTCTGCAAAGCCAGAGGCTAGAGGCTGAGGTCACAGAGCTAGGAGGGGCAGGGCACTATCAAACTGGGCACTATCCAGCACAAGAGGCAGGCTCACCCCTTTCTAACAGCGAGGACTCATGGTGGGGTTAGCAGAAGTGGCTGGAGTGCTACCTGGGACTGGGTGGGCTGGGTACCATGAAGGGTAGCCAGTGAGAAAGAGTTGGAAGCTTGAGGGAAAGGAAGCAAGGTGGCTGGGTGTGGCATCCCAGGATGGAAGGAGGCTGGCTGGTTTCAGGAGGCAGTGAGGATGGGGCCAGGACTGTGTCTGAGGCCCTCTAGATCTACAGCACCTCATGTTGCTGCTGTGTGGCTTCACTGACGACCTGCGGAGGAAGAGGGGCCCAGTTCAGCCTTGTGCTGGCCCAGGGGAGCCCCAACCACCCATCCCCAAGACAGCAGGACCCACTCAGTCCCAGCCAGGCCGGAACCAGCCCAGCTGGTAGAAGACACATAGCTGGCAGTCCCCACAACACCCTCACAGCCCCGTCAAAGATGAGGAGCTACAGAGACCACTCACCTCCCCATCCCGGGTCTCAATGGTCTTGATCATCACTGTCTTCTTGGTGTGGACCTCAGAGCCCCTTTGCTCTGGGCTGGTTTCTGTAATACATCCACCAAATGCTCAGCTTAATCAAGTTCAGGCTGGGCTGTGCAGGGCCCACAGTTCACCCTTTTCACAACAGGCTTTTAACTTCTTCAGCAGGACAGTAAGTAGCTTTGTCCCTGAGCCCAGATCCAGCAGGGGACTCTCCAGACCTGGGGCCCAGTCCCGTAGTTGACATGGGCTCAGGAGTCCATAGACTGCAATGTGCAAACTCCAGTCCCAGGCTGCCTCCCTTCCTAGCTTCTTCTCCACCCTTGGGCTCCAGGGGAGCCCTGTGTGAGTTTGCTTCCTGGGACTTCCCTCCTCCAAGACAGAACCCCAAAGCCCAAGCTTGAGAGACCCTTTTGGAGGCTCCAAAGCCTCAGCTCTCTTTAAGACTGAGAATGAGTAGCTTGATGTCTTAATGAAGATGAGATGGAGCAGCAGTCACTGTTCACAAGGCTGACTCACTTGCCTGCTGTGCCTCGATTTCCTTGCTATGCAATAGTAGCAATGATACTTGCCCTATTGTGGCCACGGAGCTATTGATTTGAAAAAGCATTAAGTGATTTTAAATGCAAGACTCACACTTGGTGTTCAGACAAACAGCTAACTGAAAAGAGAGATTCTGAGTTTTATAGGGAGGGTTAAATTTAGGTCCGTGGTATCAGGAGCTTGGCATTCATGAATCTCCTTAGCAAGCAACTAGCCTAGGATGAATGTTGTGACTTGTTGGAGCGCAGCGTGTATTTTTTCCTGATGGAAATGAACATCGAAGATATAAAAGGTTTGATCTAGGAAAGGAGAGGCTGCCAAGGACTCCGAGTTGCCTTCCTAATGTATCATTAGAGCATATTTTTCTGCTCTCTGGGGTTGGAAAGCCACTTGATCTGCATATTACTAATGTCAGAATGGCAAAATGCCCCAAGAGCTCGTTCTTTTCATTGTTTGGCTTTGCTAAGATTTGGCTTCATTTTTTTTCAAAGGGGCATCCAACATCTTGCTCCCACAAACTGGAGGTGCTCAATAAATAGCTGGAGAGCGTCTGGTAACAGGCCAGACAGACAATGGGCAGAGGGTGCCTTCTAGCCCAGAGTGTGAGCTCTCCTACTGCCAGGTCTCTGGGGACACTCCTGATGCTTCTAGAGTTTGGGCTTCAGAACACACACCCAACACTTCTAAAGGTACAGCGGACATGGTCAATATAACAACACAACACAACACAATAAGAAGCTCTCTCTCAGAAGGTTCTTCACTTGCCTCTACCTAAACTCCCTCACCTGCCTTAGGCAGCCTCCTTTCCCCTGGCACTGGACCCATAGTTCCAGCCTCCCTTCCTGCCTGATCTTGGGCAGTGCCCAGGCTGGTCTTCCAGCCATTTTAGCCCTTCCCCCACCTCCCAGCACACGCTTACCTCGGAAGTTGAGAGCAGAGTAGGTCTGGATAGGAAGGTTAATCCTGAAAAGGGAGAGACCAAGTCCTCAAAGTGTTAAGGTGCTCTCATTTCTCCCTGTGACCACAACAATCAAGGCTAAACATATTCTTCAGTTACCCCAGTCCCTCTGACTCCAACACTTTCTCTGTCTACACTGTGTAGGGTATGGGGTCAAAGGCCAACTTCAGGTGTCCCAAGAGTTGTCCCTTGGGGAAAGATCAGCCATTCCAACCTCAACCTGCTGGTATGATACCAGGATGTCCCACCCCATGGCACTCTCCAGGACACCAGCATTTCCTTTCTGTTCCTGACACTGCAGGAGGTTTGGATAGCCACCATGAGTGCTCTCCAAGCAGGACAGCCCCATAAGTTGACCATTTACATTCACGCTGGGAAAAGGGAACAGAGCTTTACCACTTTAAAAGTCCATCCTATTAAACCTGAACCCTTTCTTTATATGTAAGCCATATATAAACAGATTTGACACTTTTTAAAAAACTTTAGATACTATTATTATATATTAGTAATGCTATGTGAGACCGAGGATTGAATCCCAGGTGTCACACATTCTAGGCAAGCACTCTACCACTAAGCTTTTTATTTTGAGGAAAGGTCCCTGTAAATTGTCCAGCCTGGCTTCTAACTTTCAACCCTCCTTCTTCAACCTCTAGAGAAGCAGGGCCTTGCAAGCGCAAGGACCCAAGATCGATCCATCTCCAGTACAAAAAAAAAAAAAAGACTCTAGAGAAGCAGGAATTATAAGCTTGTATCACCACACCTGGCTTAGATTTTTTTTATGAATATCAATGAGTACCATTTTTTGACATAATGGACCTGTCTTAGACTGAGATTCAATTTATATACAGTGAAATGAACAGATCTTTAATGCGCAATTCAGTGAGTGTCAGTCAATGTCTATATCCATGGATCTACCATCCCACACCCAGATACAGAACATTTCCATCCCCCAGAAGCTTTGCTCTTATTCCTTTCAGTTGTACATTGTTTCTGTGTTTAGATGGGGGTGGTAATCTACACATGACACCTGGGTCTCCCCTTGAGCACACGTGTGTGCGGTGCGTGTGCGCTTGTCTTTCCACCCCACTCTTAGCCTGTCTGTGTGCAAGGCTTTCTGTCTCGGTCTCAGCTTGTCTCTTTCTGCCCCCCGTTCCTCCTCATCATTCCCCACTCTGTTTTCATCTCTCCCTTGACTGGCAGTAATATTTTATTACTGATTGCTGAATATGATTTTATGCTGCTGGTTCTTAATTCTAAAGGTAGAGGAGGGAATACTTATATTTCTCTTTTTATAAAAGCTGTTAATTACATCACCTTTTACCCAAGTGGCCTCAGTTAATTCTTTGCGATGAGCAGAACTGTGGTTCCTTGTGTAAAATTTTTTCCAGGTCTCAATGAGGTGATCCAGAGCCCCTGGGGGAGGACTTTCCCCTACCCCCACCCCAGTACCCTGATCCAGCCCCTGCCTTGCTTCTCACCGACTCTCCTCGCCCTCCAGCAGCTTCCGGTAGGTGGCGATCTCCACATCCAAGGCCATCTTCACATTGAGCAGGTCCTGGTACTCGCGCAGGTGTCGGGCCATCTCGTCCTTGAGGTGCCGGATCTCCTCCTCCAGGCGTGCGATGCTGTCCTGGTAGCCGCTGGCCTCACTGGCATAGCGGTCCTCCAGCTCTCGCATCTGCCTCATTAGGGAATCGTTCTGCAAGGTGGTGGTGGGGAGTCAAGAACAGGCTCGGAGCATATGCAGGGAGGGGAACAGAGTGGAAAGGGACACAGCCTTGGGGCTGGGAGGCAACTCCAGATGGCCATGTCCAGAAATTTTCAAAGAAGTAACCAAGGAACCCTGCACCCAAATGATGTTTTATGTGGACACTCAGAGAATAAGTTTCATAGAAGGGAGATGCTGCCAAAACCCTTCTGATCCCTTAATGCCCTACTGGGAATCCATCATCCAGCTTTACCCCTGGTATAGACTTGAGGCAGTGGAAGCTCAGAGAGGTTCTGTGGTGAGCCCAAGATCACAGTGAAGGTGTGAGCTGAAGACAAAAAGGGCCTGAGCTTTCAGGGTTAGGCAGAGACTCACAGTGCCCTTGAGGGCGTCAATCTCGCATGTGTAGGACTGGATCTGGTGTCGGTATTCCATCATCTCCTGCTTGGCCTGGCGCAGTGCGTCGTTGTTCTTGTTGGCAGCCTGGGTCAGGTCAGATACCTAAGGGCAGAGAGACAGCCCCTGAGACGAGGAAGAAGAGGAGGCAGGCAGGGTGGGCAAGGGAGCATGGAGACTCTGGGCTCCCCCTCTTCCCCATGGATGGAGCCATAGGCAGGACCTACAAACCGGGATGTAGGGTGACAGAGTCCCCAGGCCAGGCCACTCACCTTGGACTTGTACCACTCCTCAGCTTCAGAGATGTTCTTAGCTGCGATGGTCTCATACTGAGCCCGGATGTCTCTGAGGGCGGCTGTAAGGTCTGGCTTGGATGTGTCCATCTCCACCTGGATTTGCTGTTCCTGAAGCTGGGCATGCAGCTCACGGATCTCCTGCAGGTTGTGACTGGGCTTCAGTCCTCATTCGGGCCCCCAGAGAACCCTCACAAACCATTCCTAGAACCACCTTCCTTCCCAGCAGCTTCACCCTGGCCTAAGGATCCTGCGTACCTCTTCGTGCACTTTCTTAAGGAACGCTATTTCCTCGTTGAGAGATTCGATTCTGCGCTCCAGGTCAATACGAGCTAGGGTGGCTGCATCTACGTCCTGGGAGAGGTCAGACAAGGAGGACAGGGTCATAGACAGCCTGGGTGGGCAGAGGGAGGCCAGCGGAGCAGGGATAGAAGGGAGAAGACTGCTGGGGCAACAAAGACAGCTTACCGCTCGGAAGGCAGCCAAATTGTTCTCTGCTTCTTCTTTGAGCTGAATCTCTTCTTGCAACCTGGCCAGGACAGACAGAAGGACAAGACAGAAGGACAGACAGTTGGGGGAGTTAAAACAGCAGCGGAGATGATCACTGCGGGTAAAGTCAGCAGAGGAGGGAGATGACTGGTTAGGGGTGGTTCAGGGAATGGGCTCAGCACTGAGAAGCCCTGGCTGCTGCAAGGAGATCAGAGGCCCAGAAGGTGGCAGAGGCTCCACCTACCCAGGGAGGGGACAGGAAGTAGCCCAGTGTCTGCCTTGGAGCCACACCCTTGAAGTCTATGTTCCCACCAGACTATGACCTTCCTGGGGTTAGAAAATGTGTCTATTTCCTCTACCTCTGTGTTCCTTGTTCTCAGCCCTAGCCTGGTCCCTACAGCTGCTCAAGTAATGTTTGTGACTTTTGTAGCAGGAAGGTGACTCTGCCCTTTTAGGTAAACAGAAGCAGGACCCATAAATACTCTGCACTCAGCCTTTTTCTATTGGATGCCCAGGGGAGCCTACATCCAGTCCTCTCAAGCTTTTGGAGGGCCACAGCCCCCATCCATACTCCCAGCTACTCTAGCCAGTGTGTCCACTTGTGAAATGACACAGCCTCAGCTAGGCCTTGAGCAAAGTACCCTCTCCCCAGCCCTCCCCTTGCAATGTCCCCTGGGCCTCCTCAGAGTCAGCTGAGAGCTGTGCTTCCCTACCCTTAGGCCTTTCCCAGCCTATTCAAGTGTTTGTTCTTAGCGCGCATCAACCCCCCACGAACTGCCCCAGCTCCCTCCAGCCCCTCCTCTGCCCATTTGCCTGTCTGACACCCACCCCGCCCCCAACCACCACTACTCCAGTAGCTTGAGAGACTTTTAAAGTGGCTCCTCACGGGCCCTGGGGCTCCCAAGACCTCCCGTTTCTACCCCTTGATCTGTCTCCCCAAGGAAACTTTTCTATAGGGAAGGAACCCTGGTGAGATCTGGGTTCCAGCTCCCCTTGGGGGACACAGGGGAAGATCCTTTCCAAGCCTGAGGTGGGTAAGGAACCCTAGCCCCAAAAGAGGGTGCTGACAGGGGGTGGGGTGGGGGGGCTGCGCTGTGCCGGATAAAGGGGTTGTGGGGGCAGCGGGCCCTCACTTGGCCTTGAGCCGCTGCAGTTCGTCGATCAGGTTGTCGCGTTCCACGTCCACGCGGGCGCGCTGGTTGGTGAGCACCTCCACCTGGCGCCGCAGCTCGCGCATCTCCTCCTCGTAGAGCTCGGCGAGGCGCGTGGGCTCTCGGCCCTTGAGGCGG